ATGAGGAACGATCCCTTCTTTTTGATCAACACTGCATCACCATAATCATCGTCGTTAGAATCATCGATGGTTGGCTTCATCTCATTTAGATTTACTTTCAGTTTYTGACAAAGATCAGCCGATGAATTTCTTGGATTAACCAACGCAACTTTACACTCGTCGTTGGATAAACGTTCGATGTCAAGATTCACAACACTTTCGTATAGAGAAGTCAAKYTTCCAAYATTTACATTCTTTCCGTCCTCGTGATTGATCGAGAGTCTTGCGATTTTTCCCAGAGGCAAAGTGAGAAAACTGAAGAGAATTTCGACAAAGTCTTGATCTGCTTCCGCAAACATCACTTTTTTCTTCTTTTTGTCCACGAATACTTTCAGGCGAACTGATTTCGCATTGCTTCCCATCGGTCTGTGATCAAGTTAACCACCTTTTTCGTGTCTCAGCGTCTGATTGAGACCGCGAAAGATTGAAATGTGATTCGGGTTTAAATGGATTTCCAGTTTTCAGACTCACACTTTAACTAAGATTCTCATCACTTTATTCATTAGTGAAGCAAAACTAGAAGAAACTTTCTATGTTGGTTTGAAATCAAGTTAAGTTTCCATTCAAACAAAGTATATGCCATACCATGATTTGTAGAACACCCAACCAGATACCTTACTCAGATTCTTGGGTGATGTGTGCTAGTCTCTAGGTGGGTAATTGTTCTTAATCAAATCAGACAAGCTAAACAGACGTGAGCCTCTCCTCAAACGGATTCATTCCTAAAATCATTCTAGTATACAAAGAAACAGATAAAGATAAACCAAAATAACCTATGTAGATCCCAAACAAAATAGAAGCCAAGTCTAAGTCGGTTGAATCACTTGGTTGATGTCATGATGATGTGCGCCAAAATCAAACCATGGATTAGAAAGATCAATAGATTGATGGAGTTCTTAGTAATTTCAAAATTTGGAGACCGTCAATATCAAATGTGTGTCGATATGTTCAATGGTTTTAGTCGTCGATTTTGATTATGTTAGATGTTAGGCTTAGGGATATATCTGGATCATAGCCAATAAGTTAAAAAAGTTGAGCTTGCTAATATTAAAATAGATAAATATATATATATATATATATATATATATATATATTTGGCGGTCGGTTTGGTCTAAACCGCTCAAAAAAGGTTCCAAACTGCAGACCGGACTGGACCGCCCGGTTTTGCTATTTTCCATACCTAACCGGACTGTCAGACTGCTCAACGGATTTTTTGAACATCGCTATGTTTAGCAGACCAGGAAAAGGAACAAATGCCTTTAGACCAGGCTTTGTTTTCTATACAATTCATTGGGTTAACTCMTTGCCCYTTTGTTAGTTTTGCAGCTACTGAATGGAGGACTTGTAGACATTTCATTAATATTGAATAATAGAACATATCCAAACAAAGGGAAAATATCCAAATATATTACATGAATTATTAAAACTAAATATAGTGAGAATTACCTGCATTGTACACTACAACAAAATTAAGTTTATAGGACATCTCCAATCTTTAAGCGTCTCAATAGAGCGCTTTATAGAACTTAATTTATAAAACCAAAATATAAAACGTTCTATCTAAAGGTGTTGTAATAAGTTTAAATGACGTTTTTGGGCGTCTCAATAAGTTTTTTAGGACATTCTTGATATAAAGTGTCGCATTAGCAACTTTATAGGACATTTTTTAGAAAGTGTCCTACAAACTCATTTTTTATAGGACACTTGTTTTTATAAGACAATTTTTCAAATAATGTCCTATAAAGTTGCTAATGAGACGTTTTATATTAAAAGTATCTTAAAAAACTTATTGCGACGTCAAAGACGTCATATAAACTTATTACAACGCCTTTAGATATGACACTTTATTTTTTTGGTCATATAAAGAGGTCTATTAGGATGATTAAAAATTGAGAGTGTCCTATAAACCCAACTTTATTGTAGTGGTGACAATTTGGAGGCAGTAGCTACTTCATCCCAAATTCAACCGCCGATATCGTTCGACCAAGCGTCTTTGGTGGACGATAAAGAGGCTAAATCCATAAAAGTATAAAAGTAAAAAAAAATATTAATTTTTGCAAGCAAAACGTTCATAAACCCATTCTGCTACACATTAGTTAGAATAATTACTTGGTAAAATCATGATAAAGCTTGGACACAAATAACATGGTAGATTGAAAGAAACAAAGATAACTTTGTTGATTCTTACCCCGGTTTCCGCTTTCACATATTTATTATGCCGCCATTGCCAATGATATGCAGTACAGTTAGCTACACATTATTTAGGATGATTACTTAGTAAAATCATGGTAAAACTTGAACACAGATAACATAGTAGATTAATAGAAACATATATAATTTAACATCCCCGATGCGGTCCTGACCAAGAACATCCGACCCGTTCTTCATGTACAAATCCCGGCCCCTAGAACTGGTCTCGGACTGGCCAAATTGATCCTAAAGTTTTTTCATCAAATTTTAACTTTCAACATAAAAAAAACTTGTTTGAAGAATTTTTTATGTATGATATCTTACTGAAATATGCTTTAAAACCTCTAATGGGTCATTTAAATACACTTTAAATCTTTTTTAAATCTTTTTCACACAAAAAAGTTATAAATGTTTCTATAATTACATTTTTTTAAATTTAGTGTTGTAATATTTAAAAAACTTTAAGAATGAAATCTTTAAATCCCCATCAAGTATGATTAATTTATAACCTTTACATCATCGTACTATCTAAACACACATATCCGAATGAACAAAGCATCAACCAATCATATTAGAAATCAATAGATCCTTTAAACAATACCAGGAAATAAGTCTTCACTGCTTCTATAAGTCAAGAAAAGTGTGATCAGTTTATGACATATTCGAAAGTCCCATACCTGGTCTTCGGGCAGGGCCGGCCTTGAGTTTTCATAAAAACCATAACTGGCCTCGGACTGTCGGTCAATAACTGGTCCTTACCAGTCCCGGGTTGGGCATGGGCCCATTTTGGCCACAACAAAAAGAAAAGCGATATCGAATCATAGAGGAAAAACACAACCAAAAAAGAGCCCAAGTACTRTAAGAATTTAAAAAAGAACGCAACAAAAAGAGAGAAAAAGATCGGTTTTAGAGGAACCTGTAAAGGTGCCTAAAAATTCAACAAAAACAGGACCATTCCAAATATACAAAAATAAAATAAAAATTTAAGGCTGTTAAAGAAACAAACAAAAAAGAAGACTATTCCCATAAATACCAATGCAAACATTTTATTTCAGAGGCTCCATTTGTTTGTTTTGCATCAAGGACAGTTTAACCTTTGCGGTCAATAGATCCTTTAAACAATAC